TACATGGTCGAAATGATCTTGTCTAAGTTGCTCCACCGCAGAAGCCAACGCCGACTGTGTGCAGGCTAATGTATTTCTCGTTTTAATGCCAGATTCTCCATCAAGGTTGTCCGTTGTTATGAAAACCTTTCCACTGGAATTGCTTGATGCAAGAAGAAGCAGATCACATGGAAATGAGTCGCCTTCTCTGCAGACAACGATGTCACCACACCGAATGTCTTCTGAATGGCGATCCTCCCAATTTGACAGGCTTTCACTTTCGTGGTGAACTAAAATCACAAAGGGACGATTGTTGTATTTGTGATCAGTTCTATGGCGCTTCACATCATCAATAGCATCCTTGATCATTGAAATACCGACAACAAAAATAAGTGGCGCGACGGTTGCCGCTGGATTAATCGGAGTCTCACTGAAGAAATACAGTATTGAAATCAAAAGAAAGAAAAAATTTGCGATAATGTGAAACTGCTCGTATAAATTGACTGGCAAAAAATTCCACCATTTGTAATGGGACGATATTATTCTGTTTCCACAAAATCGTCCGTTTGCATGTCGAGCCTCTTCATATTCACTGGACAAGTGATTAAGTTTTATTTCTCTTCCGTTATTGGTGTCCTTGTTGCGTGACCTTTTAAAAAGTCGCATGTTGCGAAATAAATAACAACACCTGCAAGCATTCTCAAACTTATATTAAATAGGAGCGACGCGTGACCTTGCGAAGTTTGAGATTACGTGAATAATTTGAAGTGATGAACATTTAAAAGTTTGGCATATTGTCTACTTCTCTAAATTGTTTACCGCATTTTATTTTTGCATAATTTTTACATAACATAGTATTGTAGAAGTATCGACAAAGTACAAAGTGTCGTTTCGTGGAAGCAAATAAAAGTGTTCGCTATGAGGCTTTAATATAAAAGAGGTTTTTTCCAGAAAGACAATGCCCCTAACACCGTTTTTAATTGTTTTACGGGATGAATTTTCAAAAAAATTAATCAAGAAAGTAATAGCTTTTAAAAGCCGAACGCATCTCCTTGTTTAGTATATTTTTATACTTCGCAGGTATAAGGTGCACATTTTCTAGTCTGTTAGTGTTAATAATTTACTGAAATTATGGAACCTCTACAGAGTAGATATGGATATCTATATTTCAACTGATGCCCTTACTAAGTCCCAACTCGCTTTATCCACTTAATGAGATTTATATTCTACCTACCTAACTCAAAATGTTTCTCGGACGAGATAATTAACAGCGGATTGACAATTTCGGTGAGCAGGAAAAAAGACAATTTGTATTTCAAACATGAGATCAACATATGATATGTGTAACTGTGTGAACGCAGTCTATTTTTGCAGTGCCTTAAAACAAGGAAATAGGATTTTCGAAAAATAATCGGTAAATTAATAATTCCCTCACGATTTCGCAACATCTATTCTCATTCAGCGCTTAAACTCCAATCTACACCAAAGAAAAAAACAACACAGGTGCACACTTCTAAAGATAAATAATGTAAAAAAATAAGCAAATTTGTGCTTGAGATTTACGCACTACCTTATGTGGTTTTCCGTGTCTCTTCTATATTTGTGTACTCTAAAACGGTTTAACCTTTTTTTGTGTGCATAACAGTGGGATTCTTTTGTAAAGTAACCTTGTATCTCGTAAGACCTCCGGTGCGTAGATTTACAGAAGTTGTGGTGCCATCCAGTTTTCGCAAATTAAAAACTTCAGCCAGGACGCTTTATTACCACTCCTAATATTTTCTGCCACGTTGGCGACTCCTACACTAGGTCCTCAGAGGTCCATTTGACAGTGGCTACGTTTACTGAATCATGCTTTATGACATCTTTGCGCAGATGTAGATTGGCATAAAGCACAAAAACGCGCAGCCCCTTTCGTGTGACTGGTAGTCACATGTCAATGCAAGGTGACCCGCCGTAGCACAGAAGAGCCCCACACTTAAGCTGGTATAACGACTGACTAATGTGAGAATGAAAATGGTTTGCAAACTTACATGACAGCCTTACACTAAATGGTGAATAAGTTGTGTGTTGGAGGAAGTACTAGGTAAAATAAGCCAGGGCTTCAGACAGATTCAAATTATGGACAGATTGTAAAATTGACAGTCACAAATCCCAACTAATTATTTAGTTGCTAGTATCAAAAGGCATGTGATTTATTTGTTCCATTAACAAATTAGACATCGGGATGCAAACTGATGGGTGTTTGTATAAAGAATCCACCAACAGACGGCTTGAAGGCATTTGCACTCTTCGCCATTGCATCGAATGTAACCTTCTCTTTGATATTGGTTGACTTTACAAAGGCCTTGTGATTGTTGATAAAGATCCATCGTTTATCGTCCGTACCATCCCTTGGAAGTAGTTTCCATTGACGAGCTTCCAGAATAGGCTTGAGTTCCTCATTAGAGTTATTGTCAAGCAGAGACATCAAAAGTGGCCTCAAGATAAGCTGGTAAGTGGCATCAACCACGTAAGCAATGACGAAAGGCAAATGAATGCAAGTTTATTAGTACAAGGACTGGAAAAGTGATAACTAGAAGGCAATCAAGGAAATATAATGAGCCTCAAACGTTACGCCTCCTAAGCTTTCCTATAACTAAGTGATATCTTGTACACAAACACTTGATTTGGAATTATGGTATCGTGTGTGTGAAATCATCTAGCCAGGTAGATTAAAGTCTACTAAGGTCTTTGGAATCGAAAACTTAGGCTATTTCCCTAAGCGTAAGTGCGACCCAGCAAGTTCAGGCTAAGCTTGTCATGAGCGCATTGCGAGGAGATTTCGATTTCGTTGCTACGACGTGAAGGCATTGTTACTTCCTTTTCAATTTCACTGAAAGGAGATATCAGACAACCACACTAAAATGTACCAAATCCCTCATGTGCTCAAACAGGCAGTGGAGCCCGCACATGAAGACCGTTAGTCAGGGAAATTAATGCAGTCAGCTTCAATGCAATTGAACTAATGCAAAAAGGCAATGCCATTAAGACCGAAAATGAGAGGCTGTTATAAAATGTAGAAAACTT